CTGCTGTACCACTATGTGTGTGAGTCAGGCCTTCCTGGGAAAACTTTAGGCCAAAATTTCAAACCTTTTGCTCTCAAGAAGTTCTTCCTTATCTCAAATCCCCATCTGCACTGTTGAGAAAACCCTTTTGGCTTGGTCCATAATAAGCGAGAGAACAGAACATCTTTTGAATGACTCTTTGAACCATGGATGTTCTGCTCTCCAAGGGAAGCATACAAATCCCATATACTCTGGTTGGGTGGAGGACATCCTGAACAAAGGGCTGTGAAGAGTGCCATGAAAAAAAGGATAGGAGAGAGAATCTCCCAGCTGTGAAGAGTGCCATGAAAAAAAGGACAGGAGAGAGAATCTCTTATTGGCCTCAGCTAATAGGACTGAAGCTCTCTCTTACCTCTTCTTGCACAAATTCCTCCCGCTGCATCATTAGGTGAGACAAGTGATGGACTATCCTAGGTAGATAGCGTTTATGGACTATCCTAGGTAGATAGCGTTTATGCGCTGGATGGAAAGCAGGAGCAGAAGACAAAGGCAATTTCCAATGTTACAGCCTAGGATTCTGTTTTTCTGCCTTCCCAGCCAAGCACAGATCACCTAGAGACGGTCTTTGTGGAAAAGAGCCTCTGTTCCTGGAGGTCTCAGGTTCCCAGTCCTTGTGGGTAGCCCTCCAGCGCTGACCACTCCATCCAGAGGCCCCCACCCAGAAATCACATCCTATCAATCTCCTGCAGCAGTCACAAGTTCAGCTCTTCAGTCTGACGTTCACCTACTCTCACCAGTCAGGTCGCTCAAAGCCTGGTCTTGAGTTCTGCCCTTACCTGCTTCTCCAGGGTCGTCTCCATCACCTCCTAAGCAGGACTCAGGCTGCAGTGGAACAGACCCTTCTCCCAACACACTGGAACCTCCCCGTTCTCACTGTAACTTTTTAATTCCAACTTGCCCATTAAAACAATTATTTACACACCATAACAGTTGAGAAAATAAAGCTGGTGTATGTGGAATGCTCTTTAAATACAAAGCGATAAATAAAAATGGAGGTTCTGCCACTATCCACCCAGAAATGTCTCCAAAGAGACTCGGCGAGAACAGCACTGCTTTGTTCTCTGACCACACCTGAGTGAACACACACACACACCTCACTCTCTGGGCTTTAAGAGGCATCAAGAAAGACAACCGAGAAAGATGGAACTTTCTCTGGAAGCCGGAACATGCAGTAACATCACCACCATAATTCAAATTTCACTTTTTACATGTTTTTAAACGTGTACGGTATGCCCTTCTCCTGATGTCTGGGTTCTAGCAAAATCAGGAAAATCTGCCCAGCGCCAGTCCAAGGGTCAGCTTTGGGAGCTCCTGTTCTAGGGCACTTTGTACCATTGTCCCAATATCCTGCACTCAGGTGTGTGCAAAGCACCTGCACACCATAGGTCTTGGGCAGCTCAGTGCTGTGCACACAGGCACACAGTGCTTGGTGGTGTCTACTGAATGACGAATGAACTTCAGTTGCTCTAGTCTGGAGCCTTCCTTCCAACCACTTGGCCCAGTCCTGGGTGACCAAGTCCCCATTAGTCCTTGGCACACACCTGCTACAGCCTCTTGGATCTTTCTCCTGTTAGCTCAGTTCTAACTCATTAGAAAAAGTAGGTCTCAGACCCACGCACGATGGACTGGAGCCTGCCTTCATTTGAGGGGAGTGCAAGGCTCCTCTTCTAGAGTCCTGACCATGCACAGCCCAGAGTCTCCTCACCCACCTCCCAGCCTCAGGCCCTTCCTGCCCAGCTCCCTCATTCAGTCAGGCTCTGCTTCCCATCCACTATCTCTGAGAAAGTTTACATATTTTGTCTTTAACCTCCCAGCGACCTTCTGAGGTGGATAGACATTATTATTCCCATTTCACAGATGAGAAAATACAGGCTCTGGGAAGTAAAGTGGCAGAGCTGAGACACCACTCCATGCCTGCTGGCTCCAAAGCCTCTGCTTTTTCTCAAAGCACCACATGGAATCCACTTATCGGATATACCTTTTTTTGGTATGCATCTGTTGAATACACATTTATTGGGCACCTACTGTGTGTAAGACACCATGTCTTCTTTCTCAAACTAGATTTAGAAAGCTTTTCCTTTTCCTAGATCCCTCTTGAGGTTGGGCATAGAAATCCTAAAGGAGTCCGTTATCCACAAATAAGGGGGTCTCTTTATCACATCAACCCCCCCAACCCTGCTGACCTTGTGTCTGGTCCCCTCCATCTAGCACCAGCATTCTCTGGCTGATACTCAACTAGCTCTATAGGCTTGTATGGCGGGGGCAAAACGGGGCTCAGGTCCCTTGTCTGGGGCCTCTAGGCAAACTCTGGCTTTAGCCTTGGGCCCTCTCCAGCCTCATCTCCGGGCATTCTTCTGTATGGTCTGGCCCTTCAGGACAGCGCCTACAGAGGAAGCACAAAACCTTCAGCTCATGCAAATTCAACTCCATGTGTGCACCAGCCAAAAAGGAAGAAAAAGCAAGGAAAAAATAAATAATGCATGTTGTTCCACTCAGCCTTGGGCTGTGGTGGGGATTAAATGAGTGAATGTATGCAAAGTACTTAGGACAGTGCCTAAAGCTCCAAATTATGTACTGGATCTCTTCCTTCGTACCTTCAGACCCACTCTCCAGGCTTCGCCACCCTGTCTTGTGTCTCAGGAAGCTGTGCTTGAGTTCCCTGCTCTCTGCTTTCTGCTGCGTTCAGCCAGCGGGTGGTGGGAGGGTGTGAGGAGAAAGAGGATGGGCTCTGATTCCCAGCTCCCACCATGCTGGGTCCCCTTTAGGCAGGTTCCCCCACCGGAGGCTTCAGCTCCTGTCTGGGCCTTTCTCTGGAGCCATGGCTCTTCCCTGTTCTGGGGACCCTCATTCACTTCCCTCGCCTTCAGGAGCACCTGGCTTCCCACTGCTGCTCCTCCTAGGTTGTGTTTACAAGCTTTATTGGTTCCCATGTTCCTGCCCTTCCCTCTACGTAGACCCTTCATAAAACTCTCTTCAGTTTCTGGTTTGGATGAGCCAGGTGCTTCCTGCGGTAACCCTGGCTGGTCTGAAATGTTAGCTATTAGTGGTGGTGGTACCAGGAGCATTTCCTCTCTGCGACCTCGTCCTCCACCTTTAAAACTCCTCAACTCAAACAGCATCTCTCCTTGGTGAAGCTTTTCCTCAGGCTCTGCCACAAAGCCTGTCCTGTCATTCTCTGTGCACGTGACGGCACTTTGTTCCCACCCCTCCCATGGGACTCACCCAGCTGTGTGGTACTTACTCTCTTTACTCTCCTGTCTCCCTACTAATCTGTATATGGTCCAGGCAGAGGCCTGGGGGGAGTGTGGAGAGAGAGGCCAACAAGACCCTTCCCCATCTGGGTCAGTACCTCTCTGTGTTTCAATTTCCTTATCTGTAAAATGGAGATTAATGTATCTATTCCATAGGATTTCATCCTTCCATGAGGGATTTATAAAATAAAACTAAGAATAAATGATACAAATTCTACGTTCTCAGCTGCTGGCAGAAAGTAGGCCCTTCGTAAATGTTGGCGGAATGAATGGATCCAGCCACACTCTTCCCAGACCTTCACAGCTTGCGTCCCAGATAGTACCGTGGCGGAATGAATGGATCCAGCCACACTCTTCCCAGGCCTTGCGTCCCAGGTAGTACCAGGTTTACTTAACTCTTCCTTTATGATCCTATCTTCCCAGAGACTCATGCATGTCTTGTCAACTAGTTGGTAGCATTTGACCCAGCACTTGACACAGCTGACCATGCCCCCTTCTCCTGGTTCTCCTGCATCACTTGACCTTCCTTCTCCTCTTCTTCTTCTCTAAAAGTTGGGGTGCCCTGGGCTCTGTCGTGGGTCTTTTCTTTATCCTCACTGTCTTCCTAAGTGACCTCATCAGTCTCGGGGCTTGAACTACTGTTTATACCCCAAGGACTCACTCTTAGTCACCACTCTAGTTGAAGGTCTCACAGGTATCTCAAACTTAAGATATTCAAAATGGGACTCTTAGTTTCCACTACCTCCCACTCTGTCACCATCGACTTGCTCCTCTTCCCCAAATGTAGGCTCACCCTTGATGCCTTTCTCCCTACAATCAAAACCAATCCATCAGCAAAGCCCATGAGGGCGAACTTTAACATGTATCCTGGGTCTGACCACTCATCACCCTAGTCTAAGCCCCCACCTCTGGCCTGGGCTGCTGTAGGAGCCTCCTAATTGGGCTGTCTCCCCAAATAGAGTTCAAAGATGGAGTGAGCCTTGCCCCCTCCTTAGTCTGGCCTTCCCAGTCTGTTTTCTACCAGCAGCCAGAGCAGTTCTTTTTAAATGTAAATTAGTCATGTCACTCCCCTATTGGCTTCTCATTGCACCTACAACAAATCTCAAAGTCTTAACCATGGCCTACCAGGCCCCCACCATCCCTCTGATCTATCTCTCACCACTCTCTATTCCACAATTCCTCTCAGAAACACCATCCTACTTGCCCTTCTGTGTGCTTGCCTCAGGACCTTTGCACTCACTGTTCCCTCTCCTGGGATGCTTTTCCACATGTATAGCCATGGCTCCTTCCTTCACCTTTTCCAGGTCTCTGCTCAAATGTCACCTCCTCAGAGAGGTCTTCCTGATTACCCTATATAGAGATTACCACCTCATTATTCTCTTTCTCCTCACTCTAGTTTATTTTTTCCTAGCATGTATCACTACTTGGCATTATATGATACTTTTATTGGTTTACTTGTCAACTGCCTATCATCCCCACTAGAATGTGCTAAGAGGACAAGGACTTTGTTTTGTTATTCAATGGTTAGAGTACTGTCTGGCATGTATTAGTTCGTCAATATTTATTGCTTTCACGCATTAGCAAATCCCTGGAAAACAGGGGCTCTTTCTGGCCTTTTTACATATCCCACCCCACCTCCAGATGCTTGGCCTCCGGCAGGAGACACTACAGATACCCATAAACACGTGATTGCTGATCAGGCAATAAATACTCTATGAGCAAATGATTAACCAAGTGCCTGCACCTTGCAGGTGAATGAACAGAGGGGCAGCCTTCTTTTGAAAAGCTGGTTCTCTAAAGAAAAAGCCTTATTTTCTGCTGCTTTCCTTCCCTCCCCTTGGTATCCTGGCCCAAGGCCATGACCGGGAAGGCCATGCAAATGCTGCTGGTGGCTTTGGGAAACTGTACTAGCCCAGAGGAACAGATTCCTGATGCTCTGGAGGCATCTTCAGAACCGTACGGCCATTTAGCAAATGTGTCTGGAGTAGCCAGTACTTGAGTTCTTATTTACTATATCCTGTCCTATGAGGTAAGCGCTACTAACCTCACCTCACAGCTGAGGAAACTAACACTTGGAGAGATTACATGGCTTGCCCAAGGTCTCACTGGCAGTGAGTTGACAAGGTTGAGATTTGACCCCAGTTCTGCATAACCCCAAATCATAAACAACAGGAGTGGACATTTTTCGAGGACTCACTAAATGCCAGGGTCTATTTAAGCTCCTTACACATATGTAGATCTCATCCAGCACTCAGAATAACCTTACTAGTTAAATATTACTTTCATTCACATTTAACAAATTAGAGAACTGAGGCACAGAGAGGTTAATAACGTGCTCAAGGTCACACAGCACTTTCCATGACAACACGCTATCTTTAATTACTTCCAAACACTAAGGATTTAGATTACGAATTATCCCCAACGGGTCAATTTGCTAAAAAAAAACCACTGAGGGGCCATCTGGAAAACAGTCAATAGCAAGCTGTGGATTTCGCCCAGTATTCCTGCGTGTCCTCATCTCTATCCTCTGCTGCGTCATCCCTTCTCCCCAGTTCCTCCATGATCTCCAACCTGGGAGGGGAGGGCTACTGCTGCCTCAGAAGCTGCAGGGCACAAAGTCCAGTCCAGACCTTGCCCATCATGGCGCCTGCCCCGCCTGCACACACAGGGGCATTAATAGGTAATGCCTTGTGATGAGGAAGAGCAGGGTGGTAGAAACATAGAGGCCTGAGGCCCTTTGGAGCCTATGGGGCCTGGGGAAGAGAAACAGAAGCTAACCCAGGATCAAGTCAGACACCAGGGACCCAAGAGGTCATTTTCTCAAAAGAGGCAAAGAATACCACTCCGTGGGGAGAAGGCAGAAGAGGACCTGACCTTATTTTCAGCCCAGGGACCGGAAAGTGAAATTCTACCCTGAGTCTTGGGGTGGAGGATGGGAAGTTGTTCTCCTTCAAAGTGGGTTGTCTGAAATCTAAACTCACCAAATGTCCTCATTGCTGAAACTTCTCCCCCCACCTCCCTTTGCAACAGAGTGGGCCGTTGAACACGCTCTTCAAGCTATTCGCCAGTGCCCCCAACTCCTGCCAAACTTCCAGCTGTCTCTCACCCCCAGATGCCCAAGGCCTCACTTTTAGACTTCTGCCAGTATGAGTTGCCCCCTTTGTGTGTCCAGCTGCCGACAACAAACATTGATCCCAGCATTCAGCAGCCAGCCGTGGGTCTGCCTCCCATCCACATGACCAGCAATTTGAGGGCAGAGACGGGGTCTGGCACAGAAGGGGTGCTCAAAACATGTTTATTAAATGAACAATTGACCCCCAAGCCTCTGGCCCTTAGACCCTGTGGCCCCTGCCCTGGCTGGCTCCTTAAGTTCCACCAGGCCTCTGTGGGGAGAGAGGGATTAAGTACTCGGGTCTTGCCTACCTGAGCTCTGCCTCTCGGGCCTAGGCAAGAGTATGGCTTGGTATAAAGACACTGCCCCTTTGGGCTCTGGGCCGGCCTCAGGGCACCTGTCTTGTGTCCCTCAGACAGGGCCTTTGGTAGCTCCCTGGCTTCACCCTTGGGCTCCGAGGCAATCTAAGGCCTAGTGGGATGGTCTACCGGGTCTCCTGGAATGGTCCTCTCTGGCCTCAGGGCCTCGGTGGCTCTTGCAGGGCTCTGGAAATTCCCTGGGTGAAATCCAGCAGCTTTCAGTGATGGTCTCTGAGGATTCCAGACAACCAATGAGGCCCCTCAGTGAGACACACCAAGAAGATGTGGCCCTGTCGGAAGGGTCTGGCTGTCTGGACCACCTCCTTTCCTCCCTTTGCCCCCTGGTCAACACCAGTCCCTTAGCAACTTCTCGGAGACCTAAGAAATGCCTTTAAGCAGGGAGGGGGCTCCCTGAAGTGTTCTGAGGTCAGAGGACAGAGAGGGTCATGCAGTTCCTCTTTCCAGGAATCGTCATCTCTCAGACACTGCCCCAACCCTCTTCACATGCTCTTACAGGGTTGGGGACACTAGGAGCTGGGGGATTTGCCCACTCTGGGGCATGGAAGAGAAGGGTCCTGTCTCAGGCCTAGGCTAGAAGGAGTTCCAGCCCCGGAGAAGTCCCAACCCTTGGAGGGCAGAAGGAGAAAGGACACTTTCAGATCTGTTTAGCAGTTCCTACACCTGGAGTCCCAGTGTTCCTCCTTCACTTTACTGGCGATTTCTGCTGGGAACCAAATGACCCTCGGGGTCCCAACCTACCCAGAACCTCAAACCGGATTAGAAAAGGGAGGGGTCCCAGGCGCTTGGGGTGCCCCTAGCAGCTCTGACCTTGTGCCGGAATTCTCGGGCCACCTTCCGGTCCATGGCTGCGACAGATCGCACGGCGTCGCTGCACAATTCGCTCCTTCGGGTGCCGGACAGCCAGGAGCAGGCAGGAGCAGGCAGGAGTAGGCAGGAGCAGCGACGGTGACCGCCGGGGCCTGGGAACGGTGGGGGCGGGGCCTCTGGGAGGCCGGAGACGCCCCTGGAGCAAATGGGCTGCAGTGTGTATATGTGGTGGTGACAGTGGGAAGCTGGCGCTATTCCAATCCTCTTGAAGTGACCCTCCAAACACCTGCAATTGTAATTTCAGGGCACCTAAAGATCTTCTCCTTCGCTTTCTACCCCCAATAGCTGAAGTTTGCCAGCAGACCAAATTTGTGCTAAATTATTGCCTAGTTTCAGATGTAAATCCCTCCCAGAGAAGAACTTTGAAATATTATCCAGTTATCGCCATCACATTAACTAGTTAGGTCAGAGATAAAAGGGAAAGACTTGTGGGATTCTCAAAGGTTCAGGAAAGACACACAAAAGATATTCCTCTCCAACTCACTTTGTTATTCTCTACATTTCATAACTGTCATATGGTTGTTTATTTTGGCTTTAGAATCCAGGCAGAATGGCAAATGCCCTTACAAGGGGGAATGTGGGCCACGGCCACCTCAGTCCGCTTACATGACCATCACCCCACAGACTCTTTCCTTCTTAAAATGCTTCCCTCTTGGCTTTAGGGTAGCTCAGAGTCCTGGTTCTTCTCTCTCATGAATGTTCCCTTACAAGCTTCTCTGAGGCGACCCTGCCTTCACCCGTTCCCAACCAGGTTCCATCCTTGGTTCTCACCTCTTCACCTTCCCATCTACGCCCATGACTTCAAAATCTCTTCATGTGAATAGCTGCGTGTGCTTTATCTATCACTCTATTCCCAGACAGCGTGCAGCAAGGAATAGATGCTCAACAACTTATTTGAATGGATGGATGAATGAATGCACTCCAAATCTATACCTCTGCCTGGAGGTCTACTGGGGCCATCATCATCATCATCATCATCATCTCCAAGGCCTGGCATCCGGTTGGTGTTCCAATACTTAGTTGGTCAAGTGAATGATGCACAGGTTCCCAAGGCCCATATTTCCTCCATTTTAAATTTTCTCCTGGACAGGGAGTATACCCTGCTCACAAAATTGAAGTTATTTTTTGTTTTATTTAATGAATTAATTTATTTTTTGTCAAGGTCTGGCCTTGGCGGGAGCACTAATCCGGGAGCGAGAGGCACTTCTATTATTAAGTCAACATTTCCTGAGCTACTCTAAACTGGGGTAAAGTGGGCACTTGAGGACTTGGGAAGCTGTCATGGGGAGCGGTGGGAGCAAAGGCTAGGACTCTGTAGTCCCAAACCTTGGTTCTGCTACTGACCACTGACCACTGAGTGTCATGTCCCGTGACCTCTGTAGAAGGAGAGTGGAGGTCCAGACACATACCAACATCTTGGGCCTCGGGAGTTAAGGGGCTTTCAGCACCCAGGTTCCTGAGCCAGGGATCTCTGAGGAGTAAGTGAGGTTGGAGGCTGCCTGCTTGGTCCCCCAGGGGACTTACGGCTGAGGGATCTGAATCCAGCCTCCCCTGGGGAGGAGCAGCCACAGTCCAAGAAGGGCGAAGGCTGGACCTCCGTCAGGGGCCTAAATTATGGTAATGAGCTGGGCAGTCCCGTCACTCTAGCTCGGGGAGGAGCCAAGCGCCTGGGAGGAGGGGCCGAGGGAACACTGGGGTAAGAGAGCAAGACGGACCGCGGCTGCCGAGTGGAGGTGACCTATCTGCCGCTGGCAGAAGCACTCGGGGCCCCCAGTCTGCGCTCAGGCTTCCTATTCCCCGCACTCCCCTATGGGGACCTCCGCCCCGCGCGGCCCCGCGCCCGCGCTCTGCCTGCTGCTTGCTTGCATCTGGCTGTCCCGGGGAGAGCTGGCAGGGGAGTCCCTGAGGGTGCAGACCCTCGGTGAGAAGGATGTGGACTAGGAGAGGCCAGGGCTGGGGGAACATTTAGGGGAACAGGCCTGAGCAGATTGGTGAGAAAAGACAAGGTTTAAGGGAGGGCAAAGGCACAACCAGGGAGAGGGTCAGAAGGGAGAAGACGAAGAGAAAAAGAGAGACCAGCGACAGCCTAGGGAATGGGTCCCAAGCTGGGCAGGGCTGAGGAGACCCAAGATAGGGAACTAGAGAGAAATGGACACAGATAGTGGGAGGAAAGAGGGAGACCTTGGTTGAAGAGTCTCTAGAGACGGGGAGAAAGGATTTGAGAAGGCTGCAGGGAGAGAGAATAGGAGGGATATGGGGAAGGAGGCTGGGCGGAAGGTAGAAGAAGGGATGGTGGGAGGCCCAACAAAGTGGGGCATAGCTTGAGTGGAGAATAACACTCCCCTCCCCAGCCTCAGCACCCACGCCCCCGGGGAATGCAGAGCTACAACCTGAGCCAGCCCAGGATCCCAGGTGAGTAAGTTTGAGCTTGCGGCTGCCCCAGGGGTTAGCACAGAGGGTAGTGGGGAGGCAGAGCCCATTCCTACAGCCTCACACAAGTGCGGCTTTTTGTCATCTAGCCACAGCCATCAAGAGGCAACCCTTGCCATAGGGGATGTGACAACAGTGATGGGAGGCCAGGTAAGGGGAGACCTGGAGGAGGGGGGGCTTTGCTGGGGCAGGGGCTTATTTCTCTCGGGGTCTGAGGCTGGCAGGGAGCTTGTAGGTTGCAGAAAGTCTATCTCTGCAATTATTCAGAAGGGAGCAAACAAGGTTTCCAGTATGTGTCTGAGGTATGCAAATTCAAAGTCACTTCTATTCCTATTTCTTCATCTCTTCGGGCCCTGTAGCAGGCTCAGTTTTTATTCATTTATTCATACATTTATAAAGGGAGTAGGGCACAAAAGGCGCTATCAGGGGAAAGCTGAGCTCTCCTTTCCCCTGGGTGAAAGTGGGGGTTGGGGGGTGAGGAGTTAGGAGAGTGGAGTTCTCTTTTCCTTGCCTGGATTACAAAGGCCCTAAACCCTGTCAGAGGCCCATCTCCCCGTGCCCCAGCAATGCTGTCCTGAGAAGAGAGAAAACCTGGGCCACCTAGAGGGATTTGCAAGGAAGAGTTGGTTGAGAAGCAGAGCCCTGAGCTACCATCCTGAGTCTCGACCACTCCCTGTTGCCCACCCTCCCAAAGTCCTCCAGGCTTTTGGGAGAGGTGGTGGTTTGTTTCCTCCCTTTGCTAAACTTATTTGGTGTCTGGATCAGGTGACTCAGGTTCTCTTTCTAATCCCGGACTGCATTTGTCTCCTATTTACAACCACAGACATGTTACAAGTCTAGCCCGCCTGCAGCAAGGACCCCCAAGCATCTTGAGCCTAACCTCATGCACTGTGTAGCTCCTCATGGTAGCAGGTTAAGAGCATTATTTATAATAGAAAACAATGTGTCCCAAATACCTGCCCTTTGAAAATAGATACGAAGACCCCCAAGGTAAAAGGGGCCATGCTTAATCTCTAATGTGTGGATTATTTGGGGTTTTTACTTCTCATTTGCCCACTTTTTCAGCCCCCAACTTTTAGAATCACAGTCAGGTGTAATTTGAGTTGAAAGATGATGTCATCATTTTTATAGCTGGGAAAATCAAGGTAAGTAGATGACTTGCTGAGGCCCCCAGAGAGCAGGTAGAGCTGGGTCTCCTGGTGCAGTGGCCTGTTTCCTGGCACCATGAGTGCTCCAGGACTCTAGAAATCCCTGTATGTCAGTGAGGGAAACGATCCTTACCCAATCCTTTCCCCCTGGCGGGCTTCTTTCCTGGCTGAATTCCAGGGTAGCTCCCCACCACCTCCCTTTTCCTTGGGAAGCATCTGGACCAGGCAGCCCCTGTAGGAGTCTCACGTTACTCCTTAGAGAGAATAAGGGGTTGGAATGGCCCTCTCCTAAGGCAATTGGAGTGGGGGTGGGTAGGGGAATGAGGCCATTAGCTAGAAAGTGGACCTGGGGACCCTTCATTTGTAAGGGACAAGGGTCGTTCCAAACCAGCAGCCAACCACCTTTCATTTCAACACTGCCTCACTCCTGCAGAGCTTAGTCATTCTCAAAGAATTAGTGTAGATCAGGGGTCCATGAACTTAGATGGGGAAAAAATGCATTGTTATTTATAGGAACCCCAATCTAACTAAAATTTAGCATTCCCTTCAATTATTACTATAGGCTACAAACCACGAGGGTGTTAGCAGTGTCTGTGACTGTTACTAATAAAAATCACAGATATTTCCTACCAACTAATAGTTGTTGACATCTCCAGATCTCATTTATGCTCACTACTTCAAAAGTTTGGCAGTGATAACACCTGGGTCTTGTTATTTAATGTGTTAACAAAGAAGTACAGATATCTCTAAGTCACACATTTTTATAAAATATTGTCATAACTATATCGCAATAGATTTGATTCCCTTTGTAATCTTATGTTTTATTTTAGGCATTTAGAAACAGTATTCTGAGAAGGAGCCCATAGGCTTCACTAGATTGTCAAAGGTGTTCATAAAAATGGCATAAAAATGATTAAGAGCACCCGATCTCTCCTGAAGACGAATCCTTTGGACAGGATTTAAATTTTTCCCTCAGAAAATGGCCTTGACTCTGTGCAGCACAGCCTGTCTTCACCCTGTAACTCCAATCTCGGAAACCACATCTGAGGTGGAGGAGACGAGTGGAGGGACACAAAGATCAAGTTTAATTAAACTCTCTGGGGCCTACGAGACATTGGCGTTGTTTTCTCTGGCTGCTCTCTCCTATTTCGCGTGGTTTCTGAGGCCCCGTGAGATGGATTCTGATCAGGGTGGGCAGCCTGGGGCTCAGCTTGGGTCTGCAGGGTAGGGAGAGACAGGGAAGACCCAGAACTCAGGGCCAAAGTACAATGAGAGCGTTGAAACCTGGCCAAGGAGGGGCTGGTGACCTCCCAGGGACCAGCAGGACAGTGAAAAGAGAGGGGATGAGTGCCAGGGGTTGAGGTGGAGGGTCTCGGACTATCAAGAAGGGGCAAAGAGCTGGGGTTGGACTCAGGGACCAGGGGTTCTGAATACTTTCTCTGTTCCAAGTCCTTTCCTGGAGGCTGGGG